CTGAGACAATAACAGTTCCTAGAGTTACAGTCATTTATGCGTAAACCCAACAGAACTATATAGGCTAGAACTTGATATATGGGTGGGAAATACCGATGTATTAACCCAAAATCAATAAATGATATACATAATAGATAATATCACCGTATTACAGGCCAGAACTGCAGGTGTGTGTGTCAGCTTGCCGCATCAACAAAAGTATCCAATGACCCCAGAATGTAGCATCCCTTTTTATTTCCCTGAGGATCCGTATTTAGCAGAGACAAGCCCCATGCCATCTGCAGACATTCTGAGGATGGAACTATTTGGAGCCCTGCAGACGTTGCAATGGCTCGGTTATATAAAGGCCCAAACTTGTGGGTGACTGCGTGGCAACTACAGGCAGCGGTATTTAATATCGATGTTTAATCCTCACAGCGATTCAGGCAACGCTTAGTGCAACTAAAATTGCTTAGGGCACAGATCCTACTAAATACCCATCCGCTCGCTCATAATTTGGAGAAAACGTTGGCCGAGTGGCTGCTTGCCATCGAGCGTAACGTTCCAGAGGAGGCCTGTCGCAATTTTCTGAGCAACGACAAAACGAAACCGCAGCCAAGTGATTTAGAGTGCCAAGCCGAAGCCGTAAACCACGGCAGGCAACCCCCATGAGGTACACAGGACGGGCAGGGCTTTCCCTCGAACACCTGCTGTCGGCTGAACGGCCGACTATCAGGCCGAGTCCAACCGGCCACTTTGCCTCTTTGTCAAATGCTGGGAACGCTTTGAAACCATCTGAAATGAGTTCAGTAGGAGGCAAGCACAAAATGTTGCTCACAAAATGTTGATATGTTCAGTTGAGAGTATGTCCTGAGCGGAGCAGAGCTCTTTTTGCATTCCTTCTTTTAACAGGGATGGTCAGGTTCAGAATTTTAAAGAAAAACTTTTTTTTTTTTATCCTCAACACAGCATGAACCTGGACCACCACGACGACTTCTTCTTTTCTTTTTTTTCCCCCCAACAGATGACTACTCCATCCCCTTCTGAATGGGTCTGAACACTATCTGATGAGATGCAAGCTCTGGTTTTCACAGAAACATCAAATAGAGACACTGGTAATAGGAGGAGTTTGTTTCGGTTTCCAAGAATCATCCGACCAACTAACACGTTTTAATTACTGCACCGTAAATGATGGTGCTCCAAACCATACATTACAACACGTGACATCACATTAAGCAATTTCAGCGACTGAAATTGAATCAGCAACTGAGAACTTGAGGCGTGATCTGGCACGTCCGGGTTTTTGGTTGCTGAACGCAAAACAACGGTGATCAATTTTTATTTTTTTCTTCCCCCCAGTGTTCGACCACCAGGCAGATTTCTGGCTCGATATTTTTAGCTTGACCTTTTCCTTTTCATTATAAGGATGTTCAATTTGACTCACTCTGACTGAGGAACAGGCAGTGAGCCACACCTCGTCACACTCCTTCTCACAATCATCTGGATCTGGTTTAGCCACAAAAGAAGATCCTACCGGTCCTAAACGCACAGCAAAGACAGCACGTGAAGAAAAACTGGCAGTGTGCAGAAGTTAAAGGACCAGAGTGATGATTTATTCCTTGCAGGAGAAGTGAGACATTCATCAGCAGCAGCAAAAAAAAGGGGGGGACAAAGCCTGTGGTTTCTGTTGGGGCTGTGGATCAAACACAATAACCTGTACTGAAGAAGCTTTGTTTTAATACTGGAAATGTCTCACCAGTGCTGTGTGGCTGTAGGGGGTGTCATTATTTATCTGTTTGGCTGAACTGTACGATGAAATGCAGGAAAATGTTGATTTTGTGTTCCCCTGAATTTGTCTTTTTTATTATGTGCTGTATATTTTCATTTTAGGGAAATATTTAGTTTAATTTTACAGTAGTTTCATTGACACTCTTTTTAAACTAAAAAAGGACTAATAAAATCAATTAAAATAGTCCATGCTGTTGTAGTGTTGCAATAATATCTTCTCAATCTTCGAATCTTTTTTTTTTTTACTCAAATTAGTCAGGAACCGTTTATATATAAAAAAAATACTATACAAAGATATGCAAATGTGAGTAAAAACTCAAATGAAGTGCAGTTTAGCTAGCACCATTTACTGAACACCGGTTTTACAACTTCAGCGCGGACGGGTTTTTTTTTTCATTTTTTTAAACAGACACGCTGTCCTCCGCTGTATGCGTGGAGAGTTGAACACACCTGTCCAGAACCCCACTTCGCATCCACGCCACACACCCGAGAGCCTTTTCTGCAGCGGGTGTGTGAGGCAGAGAAAACGTTCCTCGGTTTCCCAGCCAAAATGTCACCAAGCAGCCCGTCAAACGTCGGTGCCTACCTCCCGTTTGACGTTCCATAATAATTTCTCCTTGTATTCTTCCGCCGTGCAGCCCTCCATGTCCGCCTCTCTCTGTCCGTTTAGCTGTCCGTCCTTCGGTCCACGGCGTGTGCTCGACAACAGGTCAGTCAACCCCGGCACTCCGTGTCCGCTCCCGCCGGCCTTCCAGAGTCTCTTTCCCTTTTTTTAATTTTATATCCCCCCCCCCCCAGTTTCCTTCTTGTCTCGCTCAGCTGGACTCTGACGCAGCCGAGCCGTTTGGCGATGACGTCACAGGATCCGCCTTCCTCACTATACTGATCAATGGAGGAGGGAAAAAGAAGCCAAAAAAAAAAGAAAAGAAGAAGAAATCTGTGGCTGTGCTCGCAGCATCCAGCCCCTCCTCAACCCCGCAGCCCCCGGCCCTCTCAGCATCCAACACCTCAACCTGTAGAGCGCGGGGTTATTTTTAGTACACCCTTTTCTTCCTTTCCTTGGCAGGAAATCTCTGGGCCGATCTGCCGTGAAAAGGTGTGAAAAATGCTTGAATACGGGTTAGCTCTGTCCCAGTCGAATGCTTTAGATTAGAACAATCTTCGCAGGATTTGGTCATTTTTCAGCATCCAGACGAACACCAATGGTGTGGGATTCATTAAAGCAATCATCATCCATTTAAACAATCCTTAGAAGCACTTTTTTTTTAATTACAACAATAAAATCATCCAAAGAGAAAAGGTCCAGTTCCTGAAATAGCACTTGCTGAAGCACATGCTGACCATCGTCCGTGCTGATGTCAGGCCAGTGCAACATGCCTCAGAAAAAAATGACATCACAGCAACCCTCCATGATGGAGAGCAGGACACTAAACCTGACACTTGTGCCTCCACGTGGCTGAGCGTGCACCTGCAACTACCAGGAGTTTGGCTTCTTTTATTTATTTCAAAGTGACCCTAAACAGTGTTCATCTTCATAACCAATACTCTAATTATAATAATCAGTATATAATTTTTTTCGATGCTTACTGTAAAGTTGTATCTGCGTTGTGAGTCGCTTTGAATTAAAGCTTTTGTTAAATGCATAAACATAAACTCTTTATACAAAGCAGCTCTTCCTTGGATTTAATGTGCAAGAGTCTTGTTTTATGCTTTGTGTTACCAGCTGTGTAGATTCTGAACCACAACACCCCTCTCTGATTTGAATCTGTGTGAACATTCTTATAGTAGAATTAAGGTGATTTGCTTTGTTTAAAAAAAAAATATATAAGAGTAGGGAATTAAATATAATAGTATGGAAAAATAGCCTGTATTACCCTAACACTCTAACACTATGTCATGGCAAGAATTTATTTAACAACTTGTGCACAATCAGTTGACAAGTGCGCAGTCAGACCTGAGTGCTAGAAATGTTATTGTACTGGTAGATTTAATCATTTCAGGATAAATGTCCTTTAAGTGTGTGACTGGGAAGGGTGAGGTCTGATTTAGCTAATGCTTTTCTCCAAAGCACCTCACACAATACCCGAGACGTGTGGTTCTACGGAGCTGGTAATCAAACCTACGAACTTCTGATTGCTCCAAGAACAATTCATTTCAGTAATATGTTACACAATAATGTCGAGGCTTTTGGGCTTAGATTTCTAATCTATGCAGTTATTCTTCCTGTATATACAAAGTGCTTATTTCCTGTCATACCCTTAATCATCTGAAAGGTGACTTGATTGGTGGATAATGGCCTTGTAACTTAAGATAAGACTTCAAATAGTGAATGCAACATATACAACAGCCGTGAACCATAGACAACCATCAAATATGCTAAATAAAACAAAACAAGAAAAATGCGGGCTTAAAAATACACAAACGCGCACAGAACTGGTGCAATTATCCGCACATGACAAGAAAATGCTAAACTGAGGCTGTTAAGAAGCCATCATCCACCATCAACCCCATTTTCCAGAAGTACAGTAAAGTGTATCTGCAAAGGTTTTGGTCTATTTTGTCCTGTTAACCAAAACCACTTATGGTGGTCGTGACAACTTGTTTACTCTTTTTAAAACATAATAGAATTTTTTTTTAAATTTCAATAGTAGCTGAGTCCAATGTAAAAGGTCCACTTTCCACTAAGCGGTATACTTCATTCCTATTTGCCTCCCTCCTGCCCTGTGTATGTGCTGCTAAACGCTGAAAAAAAAAAAAAAACACACACACACACACACACAAACACAAAAACTTACATACAGCTCTTTTAACCTCCCTAAATGGAGGCGAGTTCTGCAGCCCACAGCTGTTCAGCTAGCATCGACAGGCGATAAGCAATTCTAGTGCCAGAGGTGGTCTTTAATCCACAATGCGAGAACAGCAACGCACCACAGAAAGAGGTTTTTGCCTCTGCAGCTTCATAAGCAGCTGATTTTGCTCACACTGAGGAATGATGGGAATGAAAAAGAGCTGAGCTGCGTGGCACAGTACTATTGAGAGGGATTTTTTCCCCCATTCATATCCTAAACGTCCAGATAAAAATCAACAAAGTAAAACCTCAGGGTTTTGAACTTGATTATCATCTGTCAACAAGGCTTTAAAATAAGTGAATAAGTGTGTTATACTGTGTAACTTTAGATACCAGAAGATTCTTTGCATGGATTTTCCCTGAAAATATGACAAAACGCACAAAGTGAGAATATAACGACAAGTTTTATCGTCACAATTGATAAAAGGCATTCTGGTAAGCAGCATTTCAACACATTATAGGCACGGCAACTCTGGTCAATTTAAAACACAAACTAAACTTTGGCATAAAACAGTCTGTAAGAGTGTAAAATAAAAAAAAGATTGGTAAATGTGAAAAATATTCTACTCTGGATGCAAACTGTAAGCAGGTGATTCTACCATGAGATTAGTGATTATTTCCTCTATTGCTACTCATCTTTTCATGAAACCTACAGTTCTACATATATAGGGGTTTCTCTGGATCTTTTGACAGCAATTAGTCCACCATGATAAACAGAGCAAAAAAAAATGCCATGATACCGACTTCCTTTGAATGTAGAAGAAAAAATAATGTCAAGGTTCCACAAACATGAGCGTCTTAGGGCTTAGTGAGGAAAAAAAAAAAAAAAAAAAATGGTCGGGCAGAAATCTGTCCAGTGGATTTTTGTGGTTTCAGCCTCAGTGTCCCAGCGGCCGGTCATCGTAAGTGCTGTACCTCTTGACGTGGATGTGTCGAACGCGCTCACGCAGCTCACTTCCTCCCGGCCCCTCCTCTTCCTCGCTGTGGGAACCGCAGCTGTTGTAGCTCCGCCGCGTGGCCTCCAGCAGGGAGTTGTCGGGCAGTGGCGCCGTCTCATAAAGCAAGGTGTTCAGAGTCTCTTCGTAGATGCGAGCTTCAGGGAACTCCACCTGGGCCACACAATATACCGATTTTAATGAACAGATCGCCGACTGACCGAGCCAGCTCCCTCGTTTATTAGAGGATCACAGGGCCCGGTTACTTTGTAACATAAGGATCCTCTCTTTTAAAGTCCAATAAGTAATCCATTATCTGAATAGTCATCTTCAGAATAGTTTGAATTGGGGTTTGCAACATTTGTACCAAGTGCCCTAAAAAAAACCTTTTTCTGTTTAACAATCTTCAGCTGTGCATTAAAAACTGAATTAAATATTTGGACATTGTTTACATGTCCTGGCTATTTGTTTAAAACTTTTAAGAGAATTGCAGAAAAAAATTTCACGCCGATTCATTTTTATATTTATGTATGTTTTTTTTTTAGTTAAGTTTTGATGCAACATCTTTTTACTATCTTTTTTTAAGACATGAATTGCTGCCAGGATCACTGGTTTTAATACGATGACTGAGCAACAGGAGTAAATTAACAGGATTGTGAAAGCGGCACTACAGAAAATCAGCCTTTGTTTGAAATACAGTTAGTAAATAATTGTGATAAATTAATATAATTTAATGTCAATCAAAATTATCCCGAATTTTCTTTTGGAAGGACCAAGATTTGTTTTCCAGTTATAACGCAGAAGTACAGGTATAGGTATGTCGAAACCTCCAGAGGGGTAAACTGGCAGCATATAAAAGGAACTGTGGTTTAAAGTGTAGGACGGACTTTTAAAAGAAAGTATCTCCTGTTTCAGTATATATTCCACCTACACTTTCCAAACAACTACACATTTTGATGACCAGGTTTAGCAGTCTTTACCTTCTTTAACAGTCAAAATTCTCATTTTTAGTTATACACATCTTTATCTCTTAAACAAAAACACACATCAGTATTGTACCGAAGGCTTCTCCTTTTCTTATTCAACACCAGCAGCTTCGGCACTGGCCCGCTTACCTTGGTTTGTTTCTTCTCTGTGGCATAGACGATAGAGGTGCAACACACCTCGGCCAGCTTGCGGCCCTGACCGTAAAAAGACCAGCAGCAGATCTCGTCCCCTATCACATCCTTCATGAACAGGACGCGGCCGTTGAAGCTGAGCGACAGCCTATCGAACAGCTCGATGTTCTTCAACAAGTTGTCATCCGAGTTACTGGGAGGACAAAAGGGGCAACAGAAGACAAGCGGTTCGTTAAGTTCAGAATCCAAAAGATGATTTGTGTTAAACTGGACATTTTTGTGCTAAAAAAAAAGCGGCTGATATATGGAGGAGGGTTTTCTCACCTGGTGTAGGAGTACTTGTTGTTGCTTCTGTTGTACACCAGCTTCACTACAGGCTGACAAAAGAGGCATATACATGAGTTATTTTTATTTTGTACGTTTTCTATTTTTTTGTGGAACCATAAATTGCTTAGAAGTGAAAACTGATAGCAGGAGACACGCAAACGAATAAATAAGTAAATGTAATTTAAATCCTAAATCAAGCGATTTAAAAAATGAATATCTAATTCGACATAAAAATCAGACAGAATTTTTTTCAATTGCACAAAAACAAAAAAGTGCTGCATATAGTATACATTCTGAAACAGCGACTTTTAACAAATACACCTGCACTGAATGGGGACAAATGTTTTGACTTGCGACTGTCTGAAATTACCTTAGAGGAGGCCTGGATGAGTCGCTGCTCTTCTTTATTTGACGTGATCACAGGAATAACACACTGGGGTTGCTCGTTATTGCCCTGTGAAGCATCCATTAGCTTTTAAAACCAAACTTTAGACATTAAAACGTTGCATGTGTGTAGTTAAAATTATCAATGAACATCTTCAGTGTCACAGATCTAAATTCTACAAATGTATCTATTATGATTCCATATGAGAGGTCAGCTGGTCCTTTCTGTGCTTCAGATCTATAGAGGAGAAGTTTTTGTTTTCACATAATGATTCCACAATAAGTTATGAACCATATTTAGCTTTTCATCTGATTGTCAGGCCTGATGAGAACCAGCTGAATTTTTATTTTCTACCTCTTGTTAAAGATTAGAAATGAGGGACCCTGTCACTTCTTTAAAGGTTAGTGAAAGCCTGCATGTGGGAGAGCACTGTTGCTTAGTTTCATGTAAATGTTCTACTGCTTTTTTAACTTGTTCCATGACAGTAATGTTGATCATGTAGCTTTCTCAGTACAAATACAAGATTTTTTTAGGTCACTGGTAACAAATACAACAGACAATGAAGCTACAAGCTAAAAAACATGCTGGAAAAACTATGTATGTAAGATTGGTATTTCGGTATATATCTCCTCTCTAAAGACTGTAGATAAATACATTGATACTTCTTCCTCATCGGGACCTCACTTCTCCACTTTCTCTGTTTTCAGAGGTTTACAAGAACTAGGGAGGGTATACAGACCTGGAACAGTTGCTGAGCTATTGCACCAACTGCTTCAAACAATGCTACTGTTACCATGTGTATAGATGCCAATGGGGCCTACACTGGTTTTCAATTATGATTTTACAGGGGATGAAAACAACTGATTGAATGCAAAGTCATTAGAAAGAGTTTCCAGTACAGTTCTCACTGACCTGCAGGGTGTTCTGGCAAAGTTCTATTAGGCCTTGGATGAGATAGTACTTTGCCTCGGCCAACAGCTCCTGGACTGCCTGACGGCCTTTGGGTAAAATGACAGTGCCGTCCCGCAAGTAACAGAGGATACTGCCAAAGTGTTTCCCACTACGGTCAATCAGGATCCAACCTAAAATAGAAACAGTCAGTCATCAAGATGAAGAGCACCAGTGTCTATTGAAGGTATTATGTGTTTATGCAATGTTGATATTTGCATCGGTATGGGACAAATACAGCACAGAAATTAAGAAACAGCAGAAATTAGATCACATACATTGATAGATTTGGAAAAGAAAAAAAAAACGGAAAGACAGAACCGGCATATTTCACAGTTGATTGGATAAACTGGACTTGCGGGTCTGATTTGTTAACCTTCTTTATCTGTGAACACTTCTTTCTTCCCACTGAACATGGCTTTCAGCATGGAGTCTTCCCTTGTGAGCACTTGCTGAGTGGTGTAAAACAGCACCCCTCCGACGTTAAGCCGAATGTACTTGTTGCCCAGACCAGCCGCTCCTCGGTAACTGCAGGTCTTGGTCTTGGGACAAGCCAGTGGAGGAGCTGGAGGGATGTACTCGGACTGGCTGTGTTGTTGGGGAAGGCAGCTTTCCCCAGACATGTCCCTTTGGAGGTAGATGACCACCCTGCAGACTGACGTTCGGAGATCCCCCGCCGTGGTGACGACTACTGATGAGGCCGCCACGACCTTTCACTGCTCCAAATCATTCCTAGAAACATATAGAGCCCTTAAGTGAACCCAGGATGAGTAAGTGAGTGCATTCAATCAGCGCATGCGCAGAAAGGCAGCCAAAGAAAACGTAATATATCATCATAATAAAGTGGAAACCACACACCATTCAGCTAGCATTTTCATAGTTTCTCCTCACACATAATATAAGTTAGAATTATGATGCAGCAAGCTAGCTCTGTTTACTATGTAACATGTTAATGTTTATTAAGTGTCAAGTCATGTTAGTGTCAATAGGATGTCTAATAAATGCTCAGAGTTAACTTTAGATGACCGGAGTCCAACTGGTCAAAAATGACAACAGCTAGCTCTGATAAACTCTCGACAACATAGAGGAACCCGTGTCATGGTTGGGTAAACAAACAAATGGAATAGATAACTACAGGCCACCTCAACTGTTTTAACCAAAGAGTGTTTTTTTGGGAGTGCTTTTTCTCAGAAGTTCAGACTTAACTCCACCGACAGTATTCGTTTCGACCGCTAATATGGAATATCGCTACTTCGGCTACTGAAAATGTGTCACATCGACTGTTTTCTCTTTTCGTCGATGGGCCAAGAAAGCAGTAAAATCGATCTTTATCAACTTTGCGTTGAGTGCCATACTACCTCAGACCTATGCCTCAGCCGTCCTACTGTTGCTCAAATGTGGGGTTGTCAATAAAGTTAAAATAACAAAAACTTACATATTACATGGTAAAAGTTATCATTACATTACATGTCAGTGTGTTTTAGTATTTGTCAAGTCTCGTCATGGGAGAACAATTGGAAAAATTCGAATTTTGTCTAACTTGGAAGTTCCAACTAAACAAAAGCCATCAAATAGCTTTCAGAGTGCGTAACCATGTCGCCCTTGCTACATTGAGATGTGGACTAAAGCTCACCTCACACAACAGACAACGTGCGATATTTGACGGTCTCTTACCGTCCTCTCTGTGCCGTTTCCAGTCCGGTCAGTTCATTTCTACTGAAGGGAGAGTCATAAATCCATAATTGACAACGAAAAAACTATTTAAAAAGAAGTACGAGACGTTCACAACCCTTTCTTCTTCTGCTTGATGAACTAAACAATGAGAGATAAATGCTGCCCTCTACCAAAAGTTAAAGGTATTGCAATATGTTGAAAGGAGGGGAACTTGTTCTTCGTTCGCTACAAGCGGCGGAAGCAAATTCAAGGCACGACTGCCACCTTTCTGTAAGGAAGGCTTACTGCAAAGATATATAAGTATATATAAGATATTTTATACACAGTATATGTGTTTATGTAGGTTTTTGTTTTTGTCTCAATTCTCGAAAATACAAGCCTTGCACGTAGGATGTGTTGTATATGTGTATTGTATATGTGTAGATGGCCTCATTTGAATAAGGTTATGTTTCATTATAAAATTTGACAAGAACTGTGTCTATTGTTAAATTTTTGTTCTTAAAATATATATATAATTTCCCCAACAGCAACCTATAACACTGATGATTTATTGTATAAAGTATTGTTTACATTTCATCTATCTATATATGAACATACATGAATATATAGAATACACACACTTTTCTGCAACATGCTAATCTAAGCTGTCAAGGAAACAAGAACAGTAAGAAATTACTTAAAAATCCCCAGGGAGAAAGATGTACATTTTCATTTTATTATGTTTAATTCAATTACATTTTATTTTTACTTCATTTCATTATCTACCCCACAATGTAGATAGTCAGCTGCAGCAGCTCAGGACTAACTATATCTTGTCACTGTAAATTTACACTGAGGTTTGTGTATTGAATACGCTTCAGTGCTGGTTTGGATGCAATGCTGCCAGAAGGTCTTGCTCCAGGACAAGTCATATCTGACAAGAGGAGAACTTTTTAATGCAAAAAGCCAAACAAAATGGAGGAAATGGTGAAAAAGTTCTGACAGGTCATGACTTTAGATCGCTGGCATAGGAATGACTGTGCATCGTCTCCAGATGAAGACAAATTAGGAACTGAAGGGCAAAACCTTTTTTTATTCTGTTTTATGGCCAACTGATGCGTCATCTTGTGGATTAACACAGAGTTACTCTTTTGAAAGTACATGAGCATTCCTGGGAAGGGATAGAAAATCAAGGACACAGATGTGGATCCCTGTCATACCAGGAAGACAGCAAGGATGCAAAATAAATCTTTCATCTGCACCCAAAGCTTTAAATCACTTATCCACGGATGCTAATTAAAGTGACACTTTTAAGCCCTGTCCTGAAAATGGAGGAAGTCCAGGTCCTCTATGTCCCATTTCATGAACCCTGATAAAAATAACTATCCTCAGACACATTTTCAAGGTTTGCATGGCATTTTGACTTCGTTATAGAGATATTTGTCAAAAATGACCAAATGCATATAAACACACACACACACACACTCACACGGACTTAGCGGCACACCATTTATTGTAACTAACAATCTATTGTGAAATGAATTGTCAGAGACATGGGCAGGCCTCTACTTAAACAACTAAAAAAGAGCACCTGGGGTGTAAAAGGAGGAAAGGGGCAGGTGCTCAGGCACCCTCTGCCCCTCCCTGCACATGCCTGCTCCACACCGAGTCTGTCCTTTCCTTGGCAATGGGAAATCCAAAGGCGAAAGGAGACACATTTGCCAGACACAGTGAAAGTCCTTGGAAACCCATCCAGCTCCAGCCGACCACCGATGCTCAGAGATAGTGTGTTTGAAGTAAGACTTCATTGTACTATAGGTAAACCTGTTCACATTAAAGGTGCATGTAAAATCAACCAACAAAGAGACTCTGTTGAAACACCGGAACAATCAGCTATGTTCTGTCATAGTTAACTACTGTGCAAAGATTTTTTTTAAAGATTTTTAAAACCTTCATCTTCCCAGTGTTGTGTTTTCCTGCAAACTGCTTCACACCAACAAGCAAATCTCTAAAAAAAACATGTAAATGTTTAACCCATAGGCCTGCGAAGAAAGAAATCACCATCTCATCAGCTGACAAGACTTTTATAGTCCATGTGAACTTTGAGCCTTGTCAATGAATTGCCCAAGTCCTATCTGCTGAAGGCACAATACATGGGGTCCTCCAAAGGTAAGAATTTCTACTTTTTACTCCCATTTGATGCGACAGAAATTCCGTATTCATTTTTCCTCTGGTTTTTCTGGTGGTTTGGTTGAAACGGTTTGGTCTGTTCGTTTAAATACTCCCTTTCGGGTTGTGCTTCCGCATCATCGCTCCAACTATTTTTCTATGTGTTTAGAAAAGACCATGAGAGGATTTGGACTGAAAGTTGGCTTTGCGGTTTCTCTGTGGCATCAGCAAAAGCAGACTACAAAGTTGAAGATGTCATCCAAATGACAAAAGAAAAGCATTAAGTGTAGCCGACGAGAATTTAACTTAAGACTCTAGGGAATCAACCCAATTGAAAATTAATTTCAAGTGGGATTTATATTGTTTTCAATTTTTTGTGAAAAATCTTTTTGTGTCCGAGGTCACTTCCCAAACTTGAACAATTAAAAAGTAGATTTTGTAGGTCTGCTTTAAAGTTTTTCCATTGAGACAGTAAACATTGAACATACCATTGCAAACAGTCATATTTCAATAGTCTATCCTGGTCTTGGGCTTGTATTTTGGCATGTAGGTTCTCTCTGATTGTTAACTGTCTCTATCTTGTGCGTCCAAGCAGAACTTAAGTTTTTATCTATGATTTCATTTGCTTCCTCTTTTACATAAAGGAACTTACTCCATAGGGCACTGACTTTGATTCAGTATGCTTCCTTATTTTGTGGGTCTTGATCACGTCATGTTAGTTGTCATTTGCCGTTAAGTTCCCTTTTTTCATATCTCTCTACCTCTGTCAACAAACCCGCACCCTTTCTGTGGAGCTGTGTCTCCACTGACAAAAACCTTGTGACAGAAATAAACAACCGAGCACTAGAAGCCTTAAATATCAAGCATAATAAATATATGTATATCCTAAACTGCTTCCAGACAATACTTTGTAGCAAATCCATACAAATATCAAGAGATTACAATGTAGTTTATTCGTTTTCTGAGTATTTGAAAAGTTCAAATAAATATAGCTACAAGGCATTTGGTAGTCCAGTCGCCACCTTTGTTTTGGTATCTGGTTTTTGTTTCAGTTACTGTTTCATTACTTGTTGAAATCCAACTTATCTAGTTTGAGCGTTACATAGTATTATGTCTTGTCTCTGTGTTAAAAAAGAAAGTTAAAAAATATGCAGTGACGCAGTCATTCTGCTTGTAGTAAGAAGATAATTTTGTTACTGTCTTAGTGAACGGCCGCAGCTGCTCAATGGTGCCAGAAGACTCAGTCTCTCACTGTCACTGTCCCTCCCAGAATGGAATGGAATTTCAATGGTGAGTCGGGCTTTGGTGGAATTAACTGCTGTAACGTACTTTTTGTTTTTAGAGTTTCTTGCTTCTGCTGCAATGACGGATGAGGATTGATTTAGGATGCTTGTGCTTACTGACTTGTGATCAGCAGGTTTAGCTGTCAGTGATACAAAAGCATCAAAAACAGATTATCAAAACAGGTTTATGACAGTAATTACACTCAAAATTATCTACTGGTAATGATTTAATATGGCTATCAAAGTTCAGGTCTGAGTTCAGTATTGCCCTGAGATTTTTTACATAATTATTAGGTTCAATATAGACAGTTTCAAGGTGATGAAACTGGAGATACTTTCATTTTATTTTTGTGGGCCGCACACAATGATTCATGGAATATGCATCAATTTTCTGTACACACTTAATTCGGTTCAGGGTAGCTATGGACAAGAACATATCCCGGCTGTTATTGGGCAAAAACAAGGTACACCCATGAAAGTCCAAGTCAAGGAATAGTCAATCAGCCCACATCACCCTTCCATTCATTGAGCTTCACCGGCTACCTCTAACCGTCCGCGCCAAATTCAAGTCACTGATGTTAGCCTACAACATTCTTAAGGGTCCGGCTGCCATCTGCTTAAAAACTTAGCAAAGGCTTATGTCACAACTCGGTCACTCCGGTCATAAATAGATTGTCATCTATCTCCTCGGAGAGCATCTCCTACCCTAAGCCTTTGCCTTGTGCATCCCCACCCCCTCTATCTCTTCACAGTTTCCTCTAACAGAGTCTGACCATTGATTTTCTAGTAAAAAGCTTATTGCGAGGTTGGTGCTAACTGTAGCAAAAGCATCTTCTAAATATATAGACGTAAACATAATGGCATGTGGCTCGTGTAGTGCAGTGGAAACCCATCCTCAGATCTACAGTGTCACGGAGGTGGGTCTTGAGGGGAGGACTCAGGCGCGGAGATTGGTGAAAAACGTTTATTGTAACAAAAACACACTCAAAAGGATGGCAGACATGGATAAAAACAAGGTTGGCAAAACGATGAACAAAGTAACAAAGCAAGGTTAACAAAACTGTGGCAAAGTATCAAAACAAGACTATGGCAAAAGTACAAACAAGATTAACATGGCTGTGGCAAAAACAAGGCTATGGCAAGGCTGTGACAAGAATAAGACTATGGCAAAGTGCATAACTCAAAACCTTACGTGGCGAGGGGTGACGAAAAGTGACGAAGACAAAAGCACAAAAACGCACTGGCACAGGACTAGGGAAACGAGGACTATTTAAACACATGAGGGAGGGGAACCCCAGGTGTACACAATAGGTAATCAAGACATGACGAGACACCAGACATTCCCCCAGACGTGACATACAGCTTTTTAATTCCATTTATGGGAGAGTCCTTGGACTGAGCTCAGTTGTCACTGTTGTAGTCATTGTGTGTGTGTGTTCATTTGTGATGGAAAAATGGCAGCAGAAGTACTCTTCTGTGTGTTAATGGGTGGAACTGACTTGGAGCATGAAGTACTCTAAGTGGTCAGTAACACTAAAAATAATTACACAGCACAATTACTGGTATTTAGAAGCATGGCTATACAAGATTTTGTACAGTATTACACAAAAAGCCCTCTTCCAAAACACTGTTGGTATGATTTTAAAAGTTTTAGTGTTCAACATTGTATATGTCCTATTTCTAAAGGAACAATTATTAGTGTGTGAAGTCAAAGTTGATGAAGCTACTGTGTCACATGATGACAATGACTTTTCTCTGGAATTTAGTTTTACCTTTAACCCAAAGGAAGGGATCGACAATCCAGCTCTCGTCATAACTGATGATCCCGGTGAGTTAACCGTCACTTTTCTCTTTAAATTCCATTCGAACACAACCCCAATGTTGATTTCTTAATTTGACGTTGTGTAAAGAGCCTGATCCAGGCCCGGTGCCCAAACTATGTCAGCTCAAACGTCTGGAGGGTCAGAGCTTTGGCTTCAATTTGCACATTGACCAGCACAGCCCAGGCTTCCGGATCAGGGATGTGGAAATTTGGAGTCCGGCGGAGCACAGTGGCCTCAGGGATGGAGACAGATTGCTGGAGGTGAATGAGAAGAGTGTGGATGGCATGGACTTTTATCAGGTGAGTTTCAAGAAAAATTTCCTATCGAGTGACCCTTTTTTATTTGACAGGGTTTCGCTGTGGCCATCTCCTGAAATAATTCCACTGATATCTCTGACCAGGTTATTTATTAAATTTGCTGCTTAGTTTTCCTTTGTCATCCAGTTGTTGCCGCCATGGCCTGAGTCGTAACAGTCCTCACTTTTTGAAAAATAGTCAAACCAGTCTGTGTTTTTTATTTTTTTGTGCATGTGTGTGTACACATACAATTGGATATTTTGGTTGTCACTTGAAGGATCTGACTTGAACTGAGCATATCATTAAGATATACAACTTCAGAACTCTGAAGGGCTCTGTTCTACATCGATAAGATAAATGATTATTACAGGTTTCATAAAGTGTTATTTCATCAACGAAACATCAGCAGTCACACTTTCTGAGGGGTTTGTGAGTTTCCCTCTAAGTTTGTTTTACAATAAAGGGAGCAGCTTTCCAAATGCCTTCTAAAGTCCTAAACCAGACAAAAAAGCTCTGATAGTTTAAGGAACTATAGATGTTGTACTAAAGATAGATGGGAAACAGTTTAACTGGGTCTTCCTTCAACATTGATGGGAATCTTATATGGTCGGCAAACTAAATAAATGAAAAAGTTCAGGGTAGAGGCATCATGCTAAGAAAAGATGGTTTATTCCTAGAAACTTACTGTACAATAGGTGGACTGAGACAAAAATACACCCTGGCTTTTGACCTCCATCCAGGAATATACCTCTTGTTGCTCTTTTGAACTTACACCATCCAATGTTAACACAGGAGGAAGGTCGTCTCAGGCTTGAAACAAGTTTAAAAAGACAGTTACAGCTTAAAGTCACTTTATTAATTTACAGGTACAGATATCTCAATAAAACCCTCTTCTTAGCCCCCCTCACTATGACCGTGTCTGTGTTTAGTGCCATGGGGATGCTTTTCTTAAGAGATAAGCCCTCCACTTTGTTTGTTGATAAGGGCTCCTTAATCTACTTTTGACATTTTTCTGGTGGTGTGGTGGTTAGTTGTTTCCTCAAAGCCAGAGGGGCTGTACAAAGTAGCATACCACACGCTCTCAATGTGAATAAGTAAACAAGCCTCCAGCATGCAAAAACTAATTTATAGTTAATTGGTGACTCAAAATTGACTTTGGACTGAGTGTGAGTGTGAATGGTGGTGTGTTTCCGACACTCTGTGTTTGTCCACTAGTTTAAGCTTGAAAAGTTCAGTTTAGGCAACTGGAAGTGGAGTTTTCTAGAAGACATTTGGCCTCTCATCCTAGAGGCTTCTTCAGTTCTAACTGACGGTGGGGAGCATTGAGATTAAATAGGAAAAAAACTAAATGTGGCTCTGATCCCTCCTACTGGATGGGCCATAGAGGTCACCCGGGGGAGTGTTAATGGTCATTATGGGGGTTCTGATGGTTCGTTTACTCCCTGGTCAGGGTGTTTTAGGTCACATGCCTCTTTGAAGTGTGAGTCAGGTGTATTGTTCCTCAAACCGCTCTGTAAATAGGTTCCAGGTTTTGTCTAAAACTACGTACTCAGTTGAGTGATGGTTTTTCTAGATTAACAAAGATGGCTTCCTTAACTCCTCTCTGAAACCAACTGTCTTCCTTGCCCAAAATGCGGATGTTGTTGTCCTAAAAAGAGTGTCCTTTAGCCTTCAGGTGTAGGTGAACAGCTGAATCCTGTCCTGAGGGGTTGGTCCTCCTGTGTTGAGCCATGGACCTTTGTAGCAGTTGCTTGGTATCTCCAATCTTACAGGTCTGTGAACTATTCACAACACTAAACGGCGCAAACCACGCTGTCGGTCTTGTTTCTGCGTGTCTTGTCTTTGGGGTGACCCAAGTTTTGTCTCAGGGTGTTGCCGGGTTTGAATAATCCTGGCGCTGGTTGAAGATCCTCTTGAGTTCTTCAGAGATCGCAGCAACATGTGGAATGACGAAGTTCTTTACCTCTCAGCAGGCCTCTTCTCGTTGGATTTTTAAAAAGTCCATCTCGGATACCCACAGGTCTTCGGGGTAGTTCTGATATCTCTGTTCTCTCATCTTCCCTCTGTTGGTGGAGGGAATGGTTTCTACTTGTGTCTGGAGGGTTCTGATGACGTTTAGTTTGTGCTCCAGTGGGTATGTTCAGTTGTTTGTCTTCCATGATGTGAACCGCTCAGCCCAGAAAGGCAAGGCTGTCATCTTTAGCATCTTCCCGGGTGAACTTGATGTTTCTGTCTACTGCGTTGATGTGGTCCGTGGAGTGTTGGCATCCTCGGTCTTTATTTTGACCCATGTGTCATCCACGTATCTGAAACAGTGGCTGGGTGTAGTTCCCATGTACGAGTGTAGGGCACTGCTTTCCATGAGTTCACCACAATGGGAGACACAGGGGAGCCCATCGCACATCCGTGCTTCTGCCTGTAGAAAGCTTGGTTGAATTGGAAGTACGTGGTGGTAAGGCACAAGTCCAAAAGACACTCATTCATGTCCAGACTAGATACGAATGAGTTTTCCTTTATAGATCACAAAATTTGCATTGAAAGTGGCGTAACCCATGTTTTAGGCCCCGGTTTTTACCCCCGTTTAATCAGACTCTAGGGGTCTCAGTCCTAGGATCTATACTCAAAGTGTATATACGCCCAAAAAGCAAAAATAGCGTACCCAAAAAAAGAACATTTTGATTAATAAAACTATACATATGCACGCCAGCACGCAATTTCACCTTTATAAATCACAGATACAGCTCAACATTTGTGTACAAAGTTCTGCCTCTTGTTCTGCCCTCTACACGCCCACATGCAGTCACAAAAGGCCAATGGAAAGCACCTCATAAATATCGTATTGAATTGAAGTAAGCCAGCTGATCAATGTTATTTCATGACAACAACGGACAAACTATCTGTGGAAAGTTATGTTCAGACATTTAAAGGCTCTGTTTTGTTTGTAGGCAATTTTTTAAAATAAATTGTGCTATTGCATCCAGTCTCATGGAAGTTCTGGAGAGACCGTAATTGTCTTTGGATGGTGGACACCTATCAGGACTCACTGCCATTTCTTTATTCTCCTTGGGTCGACGTTGACGATGCTTTAACTTCTTCAATGGGTCCAAAACTAAAGGCTCTCTCGAGGCCTATTGAGGATAGTACGTTTTTTAAGGACCACAACATCTGCCAGTGACTGGACCAAGACGCTTTTTTACTCATTCAAGATGGTGGTAGAACGTAGTGCCTGCTTTGTAGCCACCAGTTTAAGCTAGAGCGGCAGCATCAGTGCGGGTGTCTTAAAGAAACCGAACAAACAGATAATAAAATAGAATACTTTATTGGTCGCACAGTGGGGAAATTTAAGAGCATCTTAGAAGGTTGGCTGTGTACTGGGGGCTTTTTCTGAGCCCCTTGGAGGTGATTATTTAAAATGGGAAGGACAGCACTGACCGTCCTCGTCACAAATTTATATATGAGGCCTCTTTAAGCTTCGATGCATACAGCATGAAGGAGATCATTCTTGCAAGCAGCTATGATTGCTTGTGATGAAATCTTTAAACCACTAAGGCTTTATTTCTTTATTTGGATCTTGTTTGCCGAGACAAGGTTGTTGCCGTTCCGGCCCTATACCCTTTTGTCACCAGAGGCCAGTGTAAGAGGACAGGAGAAGGCATATTGTTCGGTTTATTCTTGTTAATTAAAAGTTGTAAAGAAGCAAAGTGGAAGGAAAAGAAAGGAAACAAAAATATTGAGCCCTCAGGATAGCGTGAGGTATGTATACGAGGTATGTTACTGTGGATCTGTGTTTAAGTAGATGCTGCGTGTTGCCTTGGTTACTTATTCAGTTCCCTTCCTTCAGTTCTCAAGGCTCAGAATGATCGCTGTTATCGAAGTTATCTCAGTTCTCACGTCTACTTCCTGAAGGAGCAACAGAAAGCTTTAAGCAATTAGTGAAATTCAATGATTTTTCAAATTATATTGATAACAAATTGATCATTTTTTGTCTTTTAATTTAATTTGAACTCTTTTTAAGAAATTAACTGTCGCTTTTTAGAGGTTGCAATTTTAGATTTTATTTGGTGAGTGTTTATGCTTTTCCCAAGATATGTGGGATTGGTAGGATCTATTACGTTTAATAAATAGACTTTGTCATGGTGCTGGTGGGTTTTTTTCTGTAGTTTATATATTTGTATTTATTTTGTATGTATTTTTATGGATTTGTGTATTTAAAGATTTACTCAGAAATTGGGTTGTGAAGGTCCAAATGTCTTAATTGTGTCATTAAGATTTTTCCGCTGTGCAAACTGCAGTTTGTTGTAAAATCGACTTTCAAATTTTGTGTGTTCAGTATTCAAAATGACCATAATAGCTACAGCTTCAATTAAATTTACTTTTAAAGAGATTTGGTATGATCACACACACACACACACACACACACACACACACACACACACACACACCTTTTTTGATCACGTCTCTGAAAGAAAGTAAATCAACAAGCTATGAAAAGTTAATAGAGTTAATGAAGCACTCTTTAGCGAAGAGGCTGCAAGGCTATGAAACAATTAACAAAACAAAAGAAATGTCATGTTTGATTGTCTTAGAGTTGATTATGTGGAAATTAGTCAGTAAACACAATATGATGATGGTCACAGTTTATATTATCTTATAATTGTCAAGCCTGTTACAAAGTTGACTTAAAACAATTTCTACATTTATAAAAACACTGAGAAGGTTTGTCTTCTTTTTCTGTCTGACAGGTCGTGCGGAAAATCCAATCATGTGGCTTACACCTGTTTCTCCTCGTGCTAAGAAAAGATGAGTATGAACAGGTAATGTATTATAATAAAACTTCTTTACCATCATAAATGTCCATTGAAAAGCAGCCTGATGGAGCCCAATGTTGAGCCAGGTAGTTAAACTACTTTAATAAAAAGCCGCCGTTTTTGTGCAGTATTTGTCACGGAATAATGGGGCTTTGAAATGGGGGAAGGATCCAAATGCAGGACCGATGAGGGAGACACCGGGACCAAGTGATGGGGGGAAAAATTAATATTTGTTTGTGGGACAACACAAAAACGCAGCACTTGGTGGAAAATGACTAGAACTAAACTGTGCAGGAAAATAAACGAAACCTAGAAAAACTAAACCAAGAAACAGGACAAAGAGACAAGACCTGAAGTAGAAACCATGGAGGAGGTGACAAAAACAAAAGCGAGGAGAGGACGGCTGAAAGTTGAAATTCAAACAGGATCTGGCACAAGACAAGAGGTGACACAGACTAAAAGTGCACATGATGGTACTGATTAGATAAGAGTCCTAAAGCTTTTGACAGCAGGCAAGGATTTGAGACATTAAACACACTTTTTTGAGCCTTTCACTTTGCCCGAAAGAGAGTTTTCTCTCTTTCAGGCAAAGAGAGGTGCCTGAAAGAAAGAAAACTCTTCAGGAATCAGGGAAAACCATCAGACAGGTGGCACATGAGGAAGGGAAAGAGATCTGAAACGAGAGGAGAGTTAGTTTTCAAAATAAAACAGGAATTGGCAAGACCAAAACATGACAAAACAAAACCAAAAACCTCCATGCATGACAGTATTTCATGCTGGTATGCAAAATTTAAAAAAAACAAAAAAAACAAAAACAGTCAAATTCTGACTCGTTGTAAATAGTACATCCAAGTAATAGCGCTCAACTGATTTAGAATGGAATTAGACATTTATGTTCCTATACCATATCCCATTGGGATATTTTGGTATTCAACTGCTGTCCTCTCAATACGCCTATAATAATGTATTATAGATACCTACGGTCATGTAAAAACAATAGGATAGCTCATTAAACATTCATTTTTTTCATAAGAAATTTGAATATTTCTATGTGTAATGCCATATTTATTCATCTCTGGAAAATACGGTACAGAAATCAAAGGAAAGTCTGTCCCTCTTGTCATCACAGTGCCACTTTAGCTTTAATGTTTCTACACATTTTTCTCAACCACCCTCTGATTTGTTTTATTCATGCATCTTAACACCTGAACCAGTGTAGCCAAACGCGCTTACACAAATAAGAAAGTGTGTCTCAGAAGGATTTATTGTGAGCAGTTTTTCCCCGAAACAAACAGTAGCAAATGAGAATTGTTAACAGCACAAATGAAACATCAGACCTTAAAAGAAAGTTTTTCGGCATGGGTTTTCTTGTGTTTACAAGCAGCATGTCAGTTGTAATTAGCTTATGATCATTACAAAGAGATGTTTTCATCAAATGAATTTTTTCCACAATTTTCTTTTCCAGGCAGCGTCAAAGGGTGAAGACCTCCAGTTGCTCGTCAAAGCCTACAAAGGAGATTGCACAGCCAGACCAAAACTCTGTTATATAAAAAAACACCCCGAGCATGGCCTTGGCATGACCATCCAATCAGTGAACGGTACAGTACCCTCCACTGGGATCATTATTTGACACATGCATCTGCAGCTACTACAGAGATGTAAAACAAACAGTTTACTGTGTATGTAACATATACAGAACACTGTATAAGTATAACCTATATATTATACTGTGTATGTAACATATACAGAATACTGTATAAGCATAACCTATAAATGATACTGTGTATGTAACATATCCAAAATACTGTATAAGCTTAACGTATAAATTATACTGTATGTAACATATACAGTATACTGTATTATCTTAACCTATAGATTATACTGTGCATGTAACATATACAGAATACTGTATAAGCTTAACCTATAAATTATACTGTGTATGTTACATGTAAAGTATACGGTAAAAGATTAACCTATAAATTACACTGTATATGTTGATATACATATTGGTGAGATTAATTATTTGAGTCATATTTAAGTAGTACACCTTTGCATTAAATTGCCAAACTAAAATTTCAATAAATTACATCCAGTAATCCAGTAATTTTTTTATTAAAACTATAAAGTGAATCACTGTGATTAGGAAGAAGAAGAAGCAGAATTGGTGAAAATACAACATTCTCTCCAAACAGTAGCTTCTGACACAATTACACCCTGAATAACACCCCCATCCCCAATTGTAAAGAGTATCTTAAAAAAAAAAAAAAAAATTGTATGTAAAATAATTTTAAAACAAATATATCGGGAGAATTGGTAGTGGTTCACCAAGAAGAATGAAAAAACAAAAAGACAAAAGCACAATTATTGGCAGCTCTACAGCCAGTTAACCCTTTAAAGCCTGATCAGAGAAAAATACGAAGAATATTGGATTTTTTTAGTCTGAAGTCTTTCTTTGGCCCCTCAACAACATATGAAAAAATGTTTTATTTTGATCAAATTAGCGTGCAATAAGTCAAAAATTATATTTTGGTGTAGTCTTCTACTGGCTGTTATAAGATATATCTGAATGTGTACAACAGGGGTTTGAGCAAAACCTTTACCATTGAATGATGCAAAAAGTCTCAGAACCAAAAGACTTCAGAAACCTTATCAAATATGATACATTTGGCATTATAGGGTTAAGTAAAGTAGAATTACCCAAATAAACAAAACACAGCTGTTTTATGTCACTGCGCACAGACATGAAAAGGACTTTTGTGGCTTATTTCACCAGGTCGGAAGGGTCAGTACACGGTCAGCACTGTTGCTGACGGGATGGCCGAGAAAGCCGGCGTCTGCCACGGAGACATCCTGACCTGGATCAACGGAGTCTCAGCCTCATCGCTCACAAACGCGTCCCTGAACAAAATTGTATGTGTTCGCTCTCCTCAGTGCAACCTCAGCAAACGTTTGATATTTTCACCGCGTTTCCCTCTCAGGTGAAGAAGTGTCAGGACTCCGTCACGGTCCTGGTCGTCGACGGCAACAGTGAGCACTGCTACGCCAGGAGGAAGATGCCCATTCATCCTGTGATGGCAGAGAGCTTCTGCCTTCCTCACGCTGCTAAAACCATGCACTTGGTGAAAAGACGGGAAGGTTACGGCTTTCTGCTGAGGCAGGAGAGGCTGGAAGGCCCACAAAAGATAGGTGAGAGAAGCATGATGGGAATTTTTCATACCAATACAAAGAAAAAGTTCAATGTGATGTTCCTCCTAAATGGGACTACACATTGTAAAGGGGGTAAAGCAATGGAAGAAACCTACAGTGTCTTCAATAACACCATTTTAACATGAATATTTCAATTTATTATCTTTCAGTCAAAGGAAAATTATCAATAAAGAGAATTTTCATCATTTTATCTACAAAGAGACATTGCATCTGGTTAGGGCAAGAGATCTGAAACAAGACGAGCGTGAGTTTTCAAAATAAAACAGGAATTGGCAAGACCAAGACATGACAAAACAAAAGAAAAAGAAAAAAAACAATCAGTTCACGGCCAAATGTTTCCCTGTAATGCAGCCGTTCTTTGTATTCTTCCTCCAAAATGGGACTACACATTTTTAAGGGGGTAAAGCGATGGAAGAAACCTACAGTGTCTCATCAAAAACACTATTTTAACATGAATCTTTCCATTTTTAATCTTTCAGTCAAATGAAAATTCTCAATAAAGAGAATTTGCATAATTGTATCTACAAAGAGACATTGCATCTGATTATAAAACTCTTATCTAAAGCAAATTATAACCACAGCAGTACCACTTCTAAAGTAATAGATGAGTGTTTATTATTGTATTGCAAGGTTAGATATCTTACACCTCATTTTACATTGTACTTTTCTTGATAACAACTGTGTTTTTTTTAACCCTGTAATGCTAAATGTATCATATTTGATACGTACGGTTTCTGAAATGTTTTGCGTCTGACACCTTTTGCATAATTTAACGGTAAAAACTTTGCTCAAAATCCTACTGTACACAATCAGATATACCTGATAACAGGGGGCAGAAGACTACACAAAAAATAATCTTGACTTATCGCATAGTAATAAATTACTAATATTAAAAATGTATTTCTGTTTTTTCTTTTTACATATTTTTTTAAAAGGCTAAATAAGGAATTCAAACAAAAAAAAAGTAATTTTTCTGTTTTGTTTTATCCTTGGATCAGGCTTTAAAGGTGCGTTCAAAATGCTGTGAAAGTGGATTATCTGTGTCTTAAGGGCTTGTGCCCAATCTTGCTTTCACCCAGCTCACGTTCTGAGGGAGGTGGACGCTGGGAGCGCCGCTGAGGAAACGGGGATGACGGACGGAGATCTGCTGCTCGCCGTCAACGGAGAGCCCGTGGAGTCCATGGAGCACGACGACGTGGTCAAAAAGATCAAAGGCAGCGGCGATGAAGTCATCCTCACCTCCATTTCTATGCAGGGGAGGAAGTATTTCAGAGAGGCAAGTGCAGCCACTTGATATGGAAAACTGCTCCCCTACCTTTCCCCCCAGAAAACAGGCTCCCCAACTGTTTTCTGTCCTGCAGCTGGACATTCCGCCCCTGTTGTTCAACGAGGAGTGTCTTCAACTCTGCCTCAACAGGCGGAGGGATGCTGAGAACAGGGAAGGGACAGGTTCTGACTCAGACTCGGTTTGGGTGCCGGATGACTCGGGAACCTCTGTCTTTCAGGTTGGTCCTGAATCATTCTATTGAAATGTGATGTGCAAAACAGCAGGCAAAAATGAAATGAAAAAGTTGGCATGCTTTGCAGATATAAAATATAGTTGGTTTAGTTATATCATTATCATGACCAACACTGTCCAGTTGTTGTGATATCCAACTTGATGAGATTTAAATTCTGTTTAATTTATATAGTGCCAAATTACAATACATGTTGCCTCTATTAGGGCTGCCAATATCAAGCTAATCATCTATTGTATTAATACCATAATGAGTATTGGAATCAGAGTAATATTGGCGTGACGAAATTGATACTTTTGGTTGCAGTTTCTCTTCTTCATGTCCAGCAAATCACTTGAATTTCCTCACAGCGTTCATGTTAGCAGGCCTTCCCTGCTAACATGATTCCTTGTTTGTACATTGGCTAACTATATTCTGTCATGCCATTAGTTGTGTGCAAACCAAAACAGTAAGAATTTGGGTCATATGACACATTTCTCTACATTTCCTGTACATTATGCTTCCAAACCTGGCTACTATTAGAAAATATGTTGGTCCTCCACTTCATCCATCAAAACGATCTCTTTTCCAGTCCAAAATAGATCAAGGTAACAAAGTTTGGAACCCCTACATAAACCTCACTGTCACCTACACAGCAAATTATGTTTTTATATGTGCATGAAACACATGTTTCAAGATAAACTTTACAAACTGCAACTTAAGACTTGAGTTCTCTTGTGAATTTTTCTTTTAATGCAAGTTTAAGTGAAGTGGAGCCATGAAGCAATGTAAACCCCTTTTTGTATGAGAGATAACTTACTGTGTTTGACAGTCAGTAGATTTAGCTTATTATCAATGTATTATTTGTAATCTTTCTATCTTTTTATAGCTGTCAGAAAATGACAATGGAGTTTTCTTGTGATGGAAAGGATGTGTCCAGGGAGTGAGAGGCTGGAGCGCGAGTACTCAGGTTTGAAGAAAAGTGGTGATTTCACTACAGATATGATGAGACTCAAACTGAAGTTAATGTTGGCTGTGTTCCAATTGAAGGGTTTCCAAAATGATTACTGTTTAACTGTCCTCGTGAACTGTTCAGCGCATCTAAAGAGAGATATTAACTAACGTCCTCTCTATTTTGATTGTAGTTTTGTCGCTTAGTCTCTGGCAGTGAACAATCAGGAATCACCTTTTAATGTACTATGTATTCATAACAGATTAATTAACATCAGAAGATAAAAGACTGAACATTTTTCCTCTAAAAAAAAGCTTGTTACCAAAACCTACATTGTTTTTTAATTCCTCTTAGGTGGCTGTTATCTCAGTTCATAAGGCAAATTAGAGAGTAAGGTAAATTGAAGTAGTGGAGGCCAACTAAGTGGACAACTTGAAAGTTTTTGGAAAAGCAGATAAAATCCATTGTTTGACTGATGAAGCAGTCACATTTTAGAAACCCAATCTCTACAGAGGAATATGCTAAGATAAGTTATTCATTTTTTACGTTTCTAGAGATCAAACAATCATAAAAATGTAACTTTGTTTTTTTTTTTGTTCTTTTTCTTAAATCACCTCTCAAGTGAACCTGACATTTTCCATTGACCAACACCAAGTGGACACCTCCACATAAGTCTGATTTACTGTGCTGGGACAGGATTACATAGATGCATTTATGTGCTGTTCTGTAAGTTTTATTCAAAGTTATATCTGCTGAAATTACCAAAGAAACAAAACATTGCTCAGGACAACAAAAGTCCCACTGTTGCTAAATTGTGGACAGTATCACATACGCTCTGGTCGTGATCAATGTGTGTTTAGACATAAGTTGTATCAAGAACTGAATTGGAAAATAAAGAAAATGTTGAAAGAACTCTGTCTTAGAAATAAAAATAAAAAAAACTAAATACAAGAGTGACCACATGTATCCTCGCTTATGGAGTCAGTTCATGAAAACGTTCTCCGATCTGTTGACAGATGCTGGCAGTATGCGTTGTTTCTTTCTCCTCCGCTGATAGAACAGTCCATCTTGAGTGTGCTCCACTCGAATACGTGTCACATTCCCACAAACGCGTCGGGTTCGGCCATTCCTCGAAGTGGATCCAGCGTCCTTCTGATGGTGACCGCTCCTCCTCTTGGACACAACAAAAAAAAAAACACAGTCCCGCTCTACAACAGCAGAGCGAAGCCAAAAGGGAAGCGGTTTCCCGGCAACAGGTCGACAGATTAGTAACGGACAACACATCTGTTCCAGCTGCATGTTAACGTTTTTTTTAATGATAGGATTTCAGGTCTTGTATATTTCATTAAAAGGACTAAACCAAAACATGTTCTTCTAAAGTCTTCTTCATTCTTGCTTCCAAACTTTCAAACCGAAATGAACTAAATGACCTAATAATTGAACGCGATCTGTACATTTTTAACATGTAGGAACTGAACATCGCACAACGCCGTTTCTGGCAAAATCGGCAACACTGATTCATCCTGTCGGGGCCACATCATGGTGTCAAAACCATGTTTTGGTCAAAACAGGTCCTTCATACAAAGCTCTGATTGTTCTAATCTGGAAGTAAGAATGAGCAGTCTTCTAACTCTTGGTCACTTGTATGACTTTATGATAGAAATGCTTAATAAATTACTATTTTCCAGGTGGATATTTTTGGCATTATTACAAAGGGGCAGTGTGTTTTCGTAAATGAATATAAAACTTTAAAGACACATTCAAGTGTTTAAATTGGACCTAGTTATGAATTTAGAAATGCAGGGAGACAAACAGCAAGGTTACTAAGATCAGGAGGTAGAGACCAAAAACGGCAAATCTTTTATATACATATTCACACAGTGTTGCTGTGATGAAAAATAAACGATAACAAAAATTGTTTCTCGAAAAACTCTGCTGTACACAGGTTACAATTAAAATTACTCTGTATTCAGTAGATTGTCATAGGATTTGCTGTCCCCTACACATCGAAGTTACAGATCCAAAATTTAAATATATACATTTGTATGTAAGTTTTAAAAATAAAAACGATATTCACAGCCTCTGAAATGTGCAGGCTAATACAATTTCTATACAGTGCCATAATATTTTTTTTTTTTTAGGTTGGTGTGTTGATTTACTTCTCTATATAACATATATACATAATTGCTGTTTGATAAAGACAAAGGCATATGTACACAGTCGTTGTTTGAGAGAGACGAATGCATGCTACATGACACGAGAACAGGAACAGAAAACAACTGTAAATATATATTAAATAATTTACTTCAAATGCCTATTTCTCTGGAGACACTGGACATGAAGATGGGGGACACACACAATGAAACCATTTCAGAAAACCCAGAGAGAGAGAAATAGATAGAAAGAGAGAGAAAGATAGAGATAGATAGATAGATATTTCTAATTCATTTATATTATATTTACTTTGAAACTTTACACAACATGTTCAGTCTTCTTGCCAAGAAGAATGGACTGGAATTCTTGCCCAACTCATTACAAATATTTTTCTGGTATCAAATTTAAAATTCATAAGAAAAAAAAGAAAAAAACAGGATTCCAGATAGAAAACATGGGTTCAGTATTCGATATGTTTCCTGCATTTGTCTACTTAAAAAATAGGGTTTGCATGTTTGGCAAATATTACAACGCTTTTATTAAGTTTTTGCACAATGTCCGAATGGCTGGCAACCTGTCCAGGGTGTGACCCGCCTGGAAGAGGCTCCAGTCCTACACAACCCTGAAATGAATAGAACAGGTCTAGAGAATGAATTAATGAATGAATGGGTGGACGCTGTCCTGAGCTTTTTAGTTATGCTGTTAAAAGTTTTCGCCCTGACTGTAGACAAAAATGCCATGTTGCTAATGTTTAATAAATAGCGGAATCTTAGATGGGTGTTCAGTGGTGGGGAAAAAAAAATCAAATCAAAAGATATTGTATTAAATATTTTGTACGTCACATAAAAAGCCTGAAGTAATACTTAGACTACGTTGTAATCTATTTAAAACGATCAAATTTTGGTCACTAGGACAGAGAACTTTAAAAAACCCTGACAAAGACAAACTTGTGCAATAAAATATGAAAGAACCTCGAAAACTACTTGTCACTACCTTCATGTGAGCAGGGTTGTTTTCCCAATCATGCAGGAACTAGTTTGTTTAAAAAATGTTATGTTTACATTTTTGTCCACGCATACCTGGGAATAAGGTAGAAACTATGCACATAATAATAGTACTAAATTAAAAACCTTTTCAAATTTTCACCTGATTTTCTTTGTATGATTTGCGTCTGCGTTAAATCAAATGTTGTGGAAGTATCAATCAAACAGGTGATTAGATTGCTTGTAACAACATTTCTAACACAAGCTAAAAGCTAATATGTAAATTCAGTGTACCAAAACAATAACACGGCTTGTCTCGGTAAGACGCAAGTTAGATTTGGGAGGGTTGGATGGTCAAAATAACAATAATGAAGAGAAGTCCTGATCATTAGCTAAGTTAAACAATGTTTAGCTGACGGTATTTAAAAAAAAAAGTACATCATACATATGCTAAGCTTTCCAAATCACACCTTAAAACAAATATTAGTGAGTTTCTCTCCATATGTCGGCATAACAACGTCCGACCTGTGAGGTCCTGGTCTCCAGTGAAAAACTATGCAGGTGACGGTTGACGTTCGATGCGTTCTTGTTCCCAGTTTAGCAGCTTGTCAGCTGGGAAAGAGGGTTTCGGCTATTCCCACACCAGCGGAGATGGAGGCATTTCAGACGGCTGAGCCACTGTGGAGCTGTTCAGAAGCAGGCCAGCACAAGATGAGAGTTCACATTCAGAATTCATGTGTCAAATACCCTGAGTGGCAGGCTAAAAAGTGCTGTAATTACTTAGTAATAACAATTCTTTACAAACATAAAGAATTCGTCAAGTCCATTTTACACACCTTCAAACATTATTGGAAATGCAAAGTTTGTCTGGCTCATTTCTTAATACTTAGGATAAAGAATGGAACCAAATTATAGCTCTGAGATATTTCAACGTGATGAACCCCAAAGAGCCTCTCACCTGATGAAGCTTTTGAAAGCAGCTGATTGAGGGTTAATGCAGAGTGGCACTCGGCTCCCCTTCTGCTGATCCAAAATGAACTGATGGATGATCTCTGTGATGGAAAAGTGACAGTGGATGTGATCCTTCATCATAATTCGGATCACATCCATCGCCACTGGTTTTCTGAAATACACTTTACAGAGCATCTAAAGGCGAAAATTGTCCTCAAATCCCTCATTTAGATCTGACTTGCTTTACAAAAAAACTCAAATTCAGCTGATCACCCTGCTTTATGTGGATCAGTGATGGTTAGACCTAGTGATGAGGATGACATAGAATTTTCTTTTGGGCCATTGTGAACTATAAAAAATAAACCCACTTCATGTATTGATGCTAAAATCAAACATCAAGGCTTATTGTGAAGGGACAACATCTATTGTTCAATGCCTTTCTTATGAAAAATGTTTAATTTTGGGACCCAAGTCACCCTTTTTATGTGACTTGGGTACCTGAAGGGATCAGCATTTGTTACTTTTCTACATTTTTTCAATGTTAAATACAGACAATTGATTGAACGCACACTGGAAGTTTGACAAACACGATATCAAGTTCAAGTATAAGTGTACATAGCATGATATTCAACTACATCTTCCTCTTGGGTACCCCTAGATTAGCTCTACATGTATCCCAGAGCTCAAAACCATTTGTAAATGTAAGATAAGTGTGCGTCATGTTCATAGCTTCGATTGGTGCACTAATATCTGAAAAGACATGAGAAGTTATAGCAGACTGCTAATAAATATATTTAGTTGAGCTATTTGGTTACACATTAAAATCAGTTTTTTTTTCAATCCTAAAGTCTAAAAAAAAAACATTCTGAACACCTGACTACAGCAAAAAAAAAAAATTTTGGTAATCAGAGGAAGAAAGTCAGCGCTCACTTTTCAACAACGATCTAAAATAAGAAATAGAAAAAGCAGGAAGTGTACCTTTCACCTGTCTCACAGAGCTCAGGTTCTTCTCAAAGCCGTCGTCGAACTTGGGATTTGTGACAGGTTCAAAGTCGCTGGTGTAAACCCGGCCAGAGGAAGTGGTGTAGCAGCATTTACACATGCACGTGTGGTAGCGCAGTCGCCCCTCGTCCAGGTAAGGGTGGGCCAAGGCGTCCTTGGCTGAAATTCTCTTGGACTAAAAGATCGAGTGATTTAGTCAGACATGTTTCGAAAACAATTATCCTTTTCTCTCTCATATACTTTGCTCCCAGCATGTGTGTTCTGGGAGTGTTTATGTATACTGCAAATAAGTTAACTGATTGCCATTTCTTTTCTTTCCAAGTTTCCTTATTTCCTCAGCACACAATAAATTACACCATTGTTAAAAACTAGTTGTGGTTTATACAGTTTCTGAAAAGAAGATTATGAGGCAGAGCCTTCAGTTATCAGGCTCCTATCTCATGAAACCAGCTACCAGCATACATCAAGGAAGCACACACTTTAAACACAAAGCTTATCAATAGTTTTGGCTCAATTGAGTCTGAAACATCCAAACGAGTTAATCAATACCCAAACGTAATGCAAGCCCACAACATGCAAAGAAAAACTTACTGGATCAAACACCAGCATCCTGCAGAGGAGGTGGACTGCTTCATGCGTTGCTTGGTTTGACAGAGTGTATAGAACTGGAAGGGATGGCTGCAGACAAAAGTAATGGAGGGAGACAAGCTATATATTCAGATTTCAAGTAATTGAACAGGCAACAAAATATACGTGCTACAGGGTTTATCCGTTTTAAATATAAGACTGATAAAATTATACCCGCATATACCTGAGTTTATTCAAGAGAATAGCAATAATATTTGGGTTAAATTTTCTTAGAATGATCAAAAATGAATATTCTAATCCAAGTTGTCATGTAAAAATGTATTTACATTCATAACATTATGTCCAACTGGGGTTTTCATGGTATATTCCAATAAATACTGTGTCTAGAGCATATCCTATGAATGCAGCATAAACTGTGAGCCACAAAAAACACAAAATAAGACAATAGGATATGGTTGAGAGAGAAATCCTTTTACCACTGGTTTTGGAGCGCTTGTTTTTGTAAATAATTCTATTCAAGCATGGCTGAGAAGCAATGCCTGACATTCATTTGTTCATTTTCATTGAATTTTTATTTATTATTACTTTTGTCAGACTCAAGTTATTTCTCTGACCATTGTGAATTTTTCTTTCATTAACCAAGAGGTACCAACAGTTTTGCCCATGTGAGTATGGGCTAAAATGCATAGTGCTACTTTTCTATGCTTTGTGGGGGATTTGGGAGAAACCTCAAAATCATCTTGATGTCTGAAAATTAATAACTTATTTCGACATCTCTCTAAAAATTATAAATAATCTACATACATAAATTAGCTTGTATCAAAAACCAAAGCTGAAAGATTGATTGGAAGCTCATTGCAAATAGAGAAAAAAATTAAATAAAAAAGACAACAAAAACAAAAAAAAAGTCACCTGTTTGTGTGGTCCTCTGAGAATGTGCGCACGAGCACCTTCACATGCTGTCCTCATTGCCTCCATTGAAGGGGTCCCCAACAGGTCTGTGATTAAATCCAGCTGCAGACAAACAGACAGTCACACTGTAACAGTAAAATTTGTTTTTGACTGTGTCAATGAATTGTCTCTTTTTTAGTTATTTTAGCTATCATAGGGGGCTGTAAAGAGCCTGTAATATTATGCTTTGTCATTAGGAAAAAAAAATCACAAGTAACTCCATTGGCCTTGAATGCCATTTTAAAGGGCATTTAGATTTCCCCATGCTCTGAAAGATGGCTGTAAATTGTCACTGGATGATAAATATTACTCTCAAAGTTAAGTTCAGTTGTTAACATAGTCCGAAATAATAATAAAGGAATTCTTAAAGAACTTTAAAAGAGAAAATACAATGGTTCAAGGCGAATCCATTTGGATCTAGTCGATTTTCGAACTATAACCAGATAATTCTTTAAAATAAATTCATATGACCCAGCTGAACCAACAATTACAGATCAGCAGGTGACAGAGGAGATAAAAAAAAAACTGAATTTTAGACAGACAGAACCCTCAAGCTGAAACACCTGTTCCTCATTCAATTGGGAGTTGAGTAGGCAGGAAGATCACACATTAAAAAAAAACAACAAAAAAAACATTCAGTCACCAGTTATGTCCAGAGACTGGAATTTACCTGCTGAATGGGACTTTGAGCCTGGAAGAGAATGCGTCTCCCTAGCAGCTCGGCGAATATGCAGCCCACAGACCAGATATCAATGGAGCTGGAGTAGTGGCGGCTCCCCATGAGGATCTCTGGTGCTCGGTAGTACTGCGTCACCACTTCCTGAGTCATGTGGCGGGATTCGTCTGACTCCTCTACGCGAGCGAGACCAAAATCACAGATCTGAAAAAGAGTCATGCAAAGATTACTGCAATTTCAATTCATTTCATTTGAACCAAGATTCCAAAAAAACACAACAAATGTAATCTTTAGGAACTTCAAAAATGTGTCGCCTGAAGAACTACATCTTATGACAAATATTGTTGACTGATGAAAATGAACTGCAAACTATGCAGTGCATGGGTTCACAATTGTATCCATTCTGGAGAAGATATCAATTGAACTCATTTAACTGATTTCTTTTTTCTTTTTTTTTTTTAAAGAAAACAGAATTAACAAAGCATTGAGTTTTTAGAAATGTTTTAGCCCTCAGTTGTATGTGAACAATCTGAAATGCCCAAACAATCTGCTTTACAAACCTTGAGCACACAGTTGCTATTGACCAGGAGGTTACCAGGTTTGATATCTCGATGTAGAATTCCAGCAGAATGAAGGTATTTAAGTCCTGGTTAAGGTAGAAGGAAAAAAACAACAGAAAACGTTTTAGGAAACAGCTTAAGATAGAAAAATCATCTGATCAAATAATCTGAAGAAGGACTGCTTGATGCCTGATCAATCCTTGGAATTTGGGAATCCAAATAAACCTGTTCTGCTTTCAATATACTGTATAGAAAACAAGTGCTAGAACACTGGAACGATACACATGAGTGTGGAGGAATACAGCTGGCTCATTTCTTAATTAAGAAACTCAACCCTTTCACAGGACATCTCCATGAAAGTGTCAGAGGTGTGTTGAGGGGCAGAAGACAAGAAAACTAAACTCAAGTTTCGGTAAGTATACAAGTGATAAAGTCCATGAGAGCTTACAGTTTCATCAAAAATTTACGTTACTGCAGATTATCTTGCAATGGCATACTATATAAATGTTGTTCTATTACTAAAATGTCATTCTAAGGGTACCTGTAGTAATTAAGTAACCCCACAGTGCATCTACCGCTCACATCTGGTCAAGAGTAGCAGACTCTTTGAACACCAGAACACTAAGCTTCAGCAATCTTGTTTTAATGAAACTTCAAACATGATCAGCTGTAAAAGCCCAATATATAAATAAATTCCATCATACGTATGAGAACATCTCATGGCCTTAACTTTAAGAAGTGCAACAATTATGATCAGTTTGTTACAGAGAATAAAAAAATAAAAATAACAAAACAAGATCATACCTCGTAGAATCTGATACAGAAAAACTTTGGCGTGGTCTGCGCTCAGAGGCTGCGGTGATACGATGATCTTATGTAGGTCGCTTTGCATAAGTTCTGTCACGACATAGCTGGTCAACAGAAGGTCAAGGCTCAAATAGACTAGCACAACAATCATCACAAAATATACATCTCGTGAGAACAATCGGAAGACTTATCTATTATAATGCAGCTATAGTTTTCATGAAACTACATATCTTGTATCCAGTGGTTGATATATGACACAACTGCTAATAGCTCCGCATGCTAAAGCAGGCTCAGTCCAGTTAAGTGTTTTAGCCATTTCAAAGGAAAACGATCATTTAAATGGCAAACACTTTTTTCCAAGCACATTGAAAGCCTGGACATGTTGTACACCTTTAGTTTAGGTTGCTTTTGGTTACTTTTGGGTGATGTTGGTAATTCTCCCAGTAATTGGAAAGATGCAGCCATGTTTTTCTGTGCTTTCTGTCGTTATGTTCCTTCACCAAGTGGGATGGTAATATTAGGCAAAAGGCATACTGTAAATGATTATTGACAAGTTATTTTAATCTCCCTATTAGCAGTATTTTAAAATTGATGAATGAATGACTAATGACTGTGAGTTTCTTGTTTTTTAAAGAATAATTTCAAAATGTGCTAAAAGTTTAATCATTGAACAAACGCATAGGCCCATTCGAGTATTGTTGAGTGGTAAGAACCCCAACTATATAATCTGTGTGTACAAATCGAGTTTTGAGAAGTTCAATTTCATTAGATTTTTGTTGAAATAAACATGTTTGATTTCATTCTATAAAATGTCCATTTTAGCTGGACAAACACTAGCCTTTTTTCCTCCTTACAAATTTCTCATCTTGGCGTGCTTAGGGCATCTAAATCATGTTCTTGGTGTTCAACATGTCAGTGAGACTGTAATCCTGAAAATTAAAGAAAAACAGAAGGCATTTATTATAGATTATTTTACAATCTTTTCAGGAGCCATTTCCTTTAGTTTGCCTTAAAATCCTGTTTTAAAGTCCCAAATCCGTTCCGTCTAAGTGGGTTAGAGCAGTTCATGTGCCAATAAAGTCATTCAAATTATGCTACAAAGCTGCAGGCCACAGCTCTGCTTCCTTTGTGATCAGTGCAGACGGGGTGGCTTTCTTAATCAAAGGAGCTCAGTTGCAGGTTGCAGAAGACCCCCACATCACCCCTTCCCCTGCGTTCAGCAAAAAGGAGAGTTTCAGGGAGTCTGAGGCTTGTCGGCATATAGTAGGCTTTGGCAGTTCTACCAATTGGGGTATTAGGTTGGGAAAAGGAAGCCTAAAATAGGATAACACTTAAGTGTGCAGTGTCTGGCTGCTCGGCCAAGTGTGCAGTGCACAGGGGTGCACCTCAAAGATAATTCTATGGACAGAAATCTCCTAAAACACATTGTGAATGTTTGTAACATGTGTTACATGCATACAATACTTTGTGTGTAACTTTGAGCGGTCTGAACATGAAAAATGTAAAAGTGCACACGTTCTACAGTTTTTTTTTAATCTTCAACCGTACAGATGTGAGGTCTTCTGCGCTCAAAGGTTCCTGTTGACATGCACATGCACAGACATTTACTCACGGATCAGTTCGCAAGGTCATGTGGGGTTTTGAGACTCTTTTCACGCATCCAGTTCTTAAGACCTTCATCCGTCGGTGCTGCTTGGAAGCTGGGACATCTGAGTTTTGACTGAGTCTACTTTTGTGATCCAACATTGTCTTATATTATCTGAACGACCACGATTTTTAATGGGGACTTTGGAGGACTTTACTTTGAGCCCAAATAAATTGCTCATAGATACCTTTATCTATGTTAAGGCACATCTTAATTGTCCTATAATAAAAACTGCACCCCTCAATGGATTCTCCAGTATTGCACACTGGAGGAAAAGCATATTGGAAACATCAATATACACCCTGATCTCACAAAAGAAATAAGTGGTTGGTTTTTCTATAAATTGCTGTGCATTGGAATTTTAATGAGTATTTTTGTGGCAGTACTCCTCATAGAATCAAATATGTATTTTTTTTAAAAAGCGAAATAAAATCGTACTGCATCGTCCTCAACTTGACCATCACTTTAGTTTTTTTTTATTTTTATCGACTTTTAAAAAAAAATCCCTTTTCTAGATCATTAGAAATAGCTTTTCTGCAGTAAGTGTATGAGGGGTTATGTTATTTGACACCCTGCCATGGAGGAAATGGGCAAGTAGTACTGTCAAGAGAACATTCTGACACCTGACAGCCAAAGGAACAAAGTTTGCTGTTCATTTACCTTTTATAGTGTAAACTTCAAACCCGTTCATTCACAGTGTCCTTACTAACTTAAACGGTGTCAATGTTTAACAGTAACATCATGTCACTTTCCAAAAACCTGTGAAAAGACCAACACCAACAAGGCAACAAATCCAAAGATATGTGGCCCATCAGTGTTAGTCGCCAGCGTAAAATGTGTAAGTTTACTACAAAACTGAGTGGAAACCACGCAGATGTCCATTATACAAAACGCATCTGCAGCACACTGAATAAATGGAGGGATTGAATGTCAATCATTAAGCAATTGTAGCAACAGCTGGACTATGCCGCTCCAGGAAAATTGGCGACTGTGCGCTAACAAAACAATGTTAATATACTTGAGGACGCTTCATCTTTGGATTAAGTCCCTTATACACACACACACTTATACTAAAAGAATAAATTAATTCATTAATTAAAAAAAGACATGAAAAATACTACTGTTGTCATATATATATAAATGTAAAAAAAATCGCATGACAAAAGTCAAATAAAAAAGAAAAACGCCTCAAAGTTAATGGCACAAAACGCTTAAAATAACTAGTAAAATTATCTTTTTATTTAATACCTACATCAGTCCTACAGAAAACAAAGGATACATTTCTTCAAAGTAGTCGATGTGTGGAGGTTGCAGTATGTCCAGAGCGGAGAGCACCTGGGAAGGGAGTTAAAGCCAGGGTGGTGTTATTTCATTTGATTTGGTCCAAATTCTTTTTTTCTGGTTACGACAGGCGTGCCTGAGTAAATTCTCCCTCCTGATCATTCATCAGAAGAAGCATTTCGGCGTGGCCGTGCACTTACGTTTTCGTGTTTGAAGAAACAAAGCATCTTGAGCTCCCGAAAGACCCTCTTGCAGGAAACGAGGTTTTGGAAGACATTGGGCATCTTTTTGAGAGCGACTCGTTTTCCATCCCTGGGATCAGTCACGGACCTTGGGGCAGAGGACAAACACAGAATTGCTAAGACTCAGTGGATCGCATGCGGAATCAGAAGAACTGTGGCACAAATGAACAGGTTTATGCTAAGACTTCAGTCCCATTAGGGACATCAAGACATTTGCACATCCACATTAGCAGTTATGGTTGCCTACACAGTGTAATAAAACTATGAAAAGCTCTTTTCTTCACACCCCTTATACACCTGCCCATTCATCCCACCGCTAATGGTTCCCCAGTTGGAATTTTTCCCCTTTGCTGAGCTTTGCAATTTGTCTCAATACTGGTGAAAGAGACAAAGTAGATTTGTCTCTTTCGACTAGATAGATACCAGCGTAGTCGCACTGACAGGTGTGTGTAAGGGGAGACCCCACAACACGCTGCTCCGACTTTTACTTTTTTGATTCAGCTTAATGAGATTTAAGAAACCATGGCCACATGACACTGTGATGTGATGAGAAAGTGCAATTTAAGAGCGATTTTTCCCATTTTATGCTGTAAAAATATTATACTACTCTATGTAAAAAAAAAAGAAAAAAATTAAACGGCTGTTATTTAGTATGGGGGGGAGGTAATGTGTCATTTGGGGAGAAACCTTTTGAGGTGCAGCACCTTTTGAAGAGATTAGTTCAAGAATCTATGGAATCTTGAGCTCAAGGCCTCGTGAGGAACACAGCAGGTGGACGTAAGAGCATTTCAACTCCGCACAAAAGTCCCTCCCCGAGTAATCTTCGGTGAACCTTTTCAAATAGGATCAGTCGAGACAAACAGATGTCAGCAGATGAGTGTCACAGCCTTTGACAAGACTTCTTCACTACAGGTACTTACTGGTGTCAAACCAAAGCGACGGCACCAAAATAACACAGTGCCAGACAAACTGCGTGCATATCTAAATACAAAATGCACATCACAATTTGATCCCTATTTCACATTATACAACAGACTACCGTTTTGTTTGGTAAAAACAAGCGAAGATATTCTAATTCTGGTGTAACAACCATACAGGCTGTTCCAAGACACCACAGAAAATGTTGCTTCTTCTTTTTATTTTGACAAAATAACAGAGAAACATTTCAAATTTGTCTTCAACACACTCCCAAAATACAGAGGAAGCAATGGCTTTTCTTTTACATACAGTATATTCTCTTACAAGTCTAACTTTTTGCGAACATTCCTCATAAGGAGGTCTTAAAATACGGTCCACCTTTTTCAGCTTCAGCCAGTAAGAGCTTGAATACATTGCTCAAAAGCTTTTTTCTACCCTGAATGGCTTTGCTTGTGAACTGGTGGAGGATCGATAAACAAAGCTCTAAAAACAAGGCTGTGCCATTTGCCTAGGTTGGTTTTAACGGGAACTTGGAAAATGTTTGGCTGTTATGGACATTATGTTTAATCAAAACTGGTCATTTCCATTGTTCCCCAGCTTGTTGCACTGTTGCGGGGCCACACAACCACACACGCAGTCCTGTTAACCAAGCACGCATGTTTGTGGACTGTGGGAGGAAGGCTGAGTACCTGGAAAGACCTGGAGAGCGTATTAACAACCTGCAGAAGCGTCGACCCAACCAGGAAGCGTCTTGCCTTTTTAACTTTGTTTCTTCACTTTTATCCTGCTTTTTTATTTTTACTCTTAAACTCTCCTTTGTTGTGTGTAGGTTTGTAATGCGTTTAGTTTCTTATCCGACCTTAGGGCAGTATACAATGCACCCTCAAATGCATTTTTGTGTTTTGGTTTTGGAGACTAAGCCGGTCAGTCAGTCCATCCAAAGTCATTTATGATTTTATTGTTGTATAAAAGATTTGAGGCGATCACTAGAATTTGTGCAGTCTTCACAATAACTTATCTATTTATGTAAAAGTTCCTCCGATAGATTCTTTCCCTGGTAGAGCTGATGTTTTTTTTTATTATTTATTTTTATTTTATCATCCCTTTTGACCCCGAATTCTGCTTAAGTTCTGCAGCTAGTTGGTGACAAGTCGAGATATCTTGTCTCCAACTGTTTATCTTTTGCTTTTCGGGTCCTCTGCATCCTGGTGAGCACATTCAGACCAGCTGGAGCTCGGAAGCCAAAAATGAGCAGAAATTATTCAAAGAAAGAAAACTAAGCGAATATAAACACTTACTTTTCTGTGTCAGAGCACAAATGTGGGTCTCTAAAGTTACCATTGATTCATATAGTAAAAAGTACTATCAAAAAGAAACGGAAAATCCACAACTATGGCACCCCCGAGTTATCTAGACCGACTTTCCACCTCATGCTTCTTGCTCAGCGTAGATTTATACAGCCTCCACATCTTCATCTTAAAGTCATGTTGCATGTGCAGTATGTCAGAAGTAGCAAATCAAAACTCTTTATCTCTTCCATTCCGCTGGAATGTTAAAACCATATTTGGTCTGCGTTTATAAAGTACAGTGAAGAAAGAAAATATCGTTTGATAAATGTCCAGCATGTTTCTGTATCCACTTAATCAGAGCATGGTTCTGGGGGGTTTGGAATCTACCCCGGCTGTCATCGGGTGAGAGATGGACATAACGGGGCCACGCAAGGACAGAAAAAATAAGAAAGACAACCAAGCTCAGAATCACCTGTTGTAATAGCATGCATGTTTTTAGCTGGGAATCGAACCAAAAAACCCTCACGTTGGGAGTTTTTTTTGGGGGGTATAAATATATCGCAACTTGTAGCAAATGGAAGTTTAGATTACAGCTGGTCTTAATAGCAAAATGTCACCTGGCTGCCTCAAACTTTTTGATCTTGCTTATAATCACAAAAATTTAATTTGGACCTTTAATGCAAAATCTGCTCATCTGTAGTTTTAAACATGCTTAAATAAACATACTAAGTAGTAAAACCTCTTAACATGAGCCTGCGAAATCTTTAACAAAAACCCATTATTGTAAAGTACAGCGCACATTTACGAGGCCGGTATATGAAGGAGAATTTCCTGTCTGGGGTCTATCCATGATTGGTTTTTCACCACCTCGATAACTGTGCCTGGAAGAGGAAGCAGTGGAAATTATGCAACAATGTTGCTTTATGTACTAGACCTAGATTCTCTTAACTAGATGCTACCATGTGGTAATAACATATGTTCAAAGTAACTAAGACCTACGGATCTCAAAAGAGGCAGATGCTGTGGAGGACTGGTATGAAATGGAGTGGCCCCAGTACAGGTCAGTGTGAAAAATGTGCTAATGCATTGTGGATAATGACGTGTTGTTATTTCCTGAAACAGTGATTTGGGAAAAGAAGATTTAAGAACAGACCATTAAGAGAAAAATAGATTTAAACTTATTTCTGAAAACTTTTAACAAGGAGCATGCATCATATTTTTTCTGTGTCAACCTACTTTTCTTGTTTTCATTTTTTTTTAAAGCTAAACTTTGCAATGGAAGTCAGCTTTTTCTAGATCACATCACAAAGTCACTTTCTATATCACTTTCAGCCTGAGCCTACTACTAGTTACTATTCTTATATATTCTGATATTTCCTGGTTACAGTTAGGCCACGATGATGATGACCAATTAAGCTATCAAATGCTAATAAGAATAAGAAAACTCAGTTAATCCATCTCAATATTTGCAATAGCCAACCTCTACAAAGTAAGTAAATTCTTTCTAAATAATAAATTATTCAATTATCAAACGTTGAACTCTTATTTGCCTGTTGGTATCATACATTTACCAGCAACTGACCATATCAACATTTTAGTGTGTCACTAAATATTTTAACTGCTGGGACAGAACATTTAAGTAAACTGATCACAGGGAACTCCTCAAATGCATTTCCGATTACTTTAAACTAAAAATTGCATGGATGCAAGTTCACGACCGCAGCTGAAAAACGTGCCCAACAAAAAAAAAAGAAATAAAACTGAAAGCAGCTCAAAGTAGAACTCATGTGGGCTTTTGTCGCCGTCTTCAACTTTCACCACAAACTGGAATTTACAGTGAAGCGGAGCCAGAAAAACACTCAGAGGCGTCTTCTCTCCGGTGTGGGGAGAAAAGTCTGTCAAGACAACGTAGTGGAGCGCACTTACCAGACAACCCCGAACGCTCCGTAGCCGATGGGCCTGTCGGGCTCGATGTCCAGCTGCTGGGGGAGGTGGTGTGTGTTCTGCTGATGGTGGTGGTGGTGGTGGTGAGCTTTGACAGCGGCGGCCTGAACCTGGGCGGGGGCCACGGCCGCCGCCGGCCCGGGGGCCTGCCCGGGGGCAGGGGATGGGAAGTAGGGCTGCTGCTGGCCCGGGTTGAGCATGACGGTGGCGGCCACGGCCGTGGAGGTGTGCTGCTGCGCCGCGTGCACGGCGGCGGCGGCCGAGCCCGGGTGCTGCAGGGGATGGGGCCCCGCCTGTTGGTGTTGGTGGTGGTGGGAGTGGTGCGAGTGGTGCATGTGGGGAGGCTGGAGGTGCTGGAGCTGGTGGTGGTGATGATGGGCTGCCACGGCTGAGGAGCCACCATTGTACGCGGCCATCATTTTAGGGACATTTGCGGCGGTCGTGTCGCAAAGAGCCATCCGGCGAGGCCGAAACCGCCCCTGCCCTGAACGCCCTCCAAAAAGAGAGGGGGACGGCTACCAGAACGGTGTACTTTGGAGGATGAAACTTAGCGAGGTGTGGGGAAACAGAGTCAAGTTTTATGTGATCTGACTTCAGTCACTTTTTTTTTCAAAAAGAAAAACAGACAGTGTTTTTAATCATCATCACTTCCAGAAGAAGAAAAAAATCTTGCTATTTGTCTACAGTGGTCTGAGGCTAAGGCATATCACTAACATTTTTAGTAACTATAAAAGTCTAACTCTTACTTATATAACTAAAAATAGACAAATGAAAAGTAGTCAGTAGAAAAGAGCCCCCTCTTCAATAAATAAAACCGGTGACCGTTGGCTCGCATGACAGAGGTGCCTTCACTGTCTGGATAACACAGACGGAAAGGAGAACATTCATTTTTCAACAGTCCCCAAGTTTTCTAACACGCTCCGGACCGGCGTCGTAAACGCTCCCACCGAGGAGTGGGGAGGAGAAGGAGGGGTTTCACGCGGTTTTGAAACCGCATCTACCGTTCCGAGCTGGTTCCTGTTTCGGTTCGCGGGGCGAGCCGGATAACTAGTCCGTAAACAGGAGCGCTCTCCCGGCAGTAATTAACGCCGCAGATCCGGCGCAGAGGGGGTGTATCCGAGCCCGAGGCGACAATACCACAACAGCGGACGCAGGCAGGCAGGCAGGACGGCAGACAGGCCCAGGGCCACCGCCATCGACTCCACTCACATATTCCGGTCGCAATCCGCCGAGGCGCGCGCCGGCCGAGAAACCCCCATCATTCTGACGAGTGACGGAGCCGCGACCATAACTCAAAACGCTGCTGCCGGAATCCTCGCGCAGTCGTCTAATAAAACTTGAGTCCCCGGCAACAGCCTCCCCGTCCAGTACGCTCCAAACACTTTCTTTCGAGGCTCACGAGACTTTCGGTCAAAACAGAGCGAGGAAAAAAGTTCAATTTTTTGTTAGTTTTCTTTTTTTTTTTTAAACGTAAGATAAATTACCTCGCGGTCAGTGCCAAGATACAGATGGCTATTCAACCTGACAGGTCGCGGCTAGCTAACAGTGTCTCCCACATCAAAATAGTCGTCCTGTGACCGTGTCTGTCGGCTCTGCTGCGGTCAGCCGAGGACGGGTAAGCCACCCGGTGGAGTCTCTACATTTCGAGCGAACGACACTCTGCTGACACATTAAAATGCCTGGTCACAAAACAACTAAAATGAGCACTTGATCCAACATGGTGAACACATTCTTATCTGTAAAGCGGTGAGATTATGCAGGGGGATCACCCAATCGCGTGTCGTGCCACGATGACGTAGCTGTAATCGCCTTGATTGTCACCTGGCGCAGCCAATGGCGTTGTCCAACTGGCTTGACAGCGGGGTTGAACTAAATTGTATCTAAACAGAGAAGGTAATTTTTAAAATCTCCAATCTATTTAAAAATTAAAACGCATATAATCGCACGAACACGTGTTCCCGCAAAAGAAAACTTTATTGTTATATTTCATTGGTCTTTTTTTAACGTTACATAATGTAATTATAGATGTAATAACTTGTTACTTGACTGTTTATCAGTCTCAAAACATAAAATATTCTGATGATTATCAAACTGTTCAAAAGTCTTAGGAATACAACTTGGCCTACAACAAAGTTCAACAACATATTGTTCTTCATAAAAGGTTGTATATTTTTTATAAATTGGTATGATGGTTGAACAAAATAAAAGTTTTTTTTTTCAAGTTAACATTATTTTGTTTTTGTTTTTTCTTGGAGAAGAACTTGGAAATGTTATAAACTTCTAAAACTGTTTGGTTTGTAACACAAATGCACATTTAGTTTTAGGGAATAAATGTTTATTTTCTCATTTACACTTGAGATTCTATATTTCTGCATTAAGGGAACTTAGAGTTATTTTAAACCAGGCTTCGAGCCGACCACCACCCTGTAACCTAAACCTATATGATTTTGTCTCCAAACAAGATTGGAACTCTAGACCATAACACATATTTTCCCTCCAAAATTTTTTTAAATTAACAATAATTTCAGCATAACTTTTCTGATCGTCGTTCTCGTTGGGACGTCATCAGTTATTTCTTATTCTCCAAATATTTTCTTAATTCTTTTTCCTGTACTGATTATGGATGTTCCTTATGACAAGATGTATAGATTTAAATCCCCTTGTAGCCTTCTTTGAAATGACAATAAATCTTAAACTTTTTCCAGGTTTTGCCCCTTCAGGTTTTGCAATCCTTGATTTGTCTTTTTTTTTACATTCACTGTGTTGCGAGACTCTTCCTTTGCAATGCCCTTTTCTGTAAAATTTCCTACATGTTCTGATCTGCATCTCTGTTCTCATCTCACGAAAAACAATTGTACCACATCTGGGTCGAAAGTCCAAAATCAAAATGCGAAGTAAATCCTCATATAGGGAAAAATTACAGATATGGGAGCATGCTGGACTCTCTGGTCCAGAATGTGCAATGTTAAGTAGTAGGAGGCAATAGTGATAAAGATGTAGCAAAAAATCAAGACAAAGGCCCCAAACTTCAAATGTAGGAAGTGTGAGCGAGTGTTGCAGGCAGTAATCAAATCTCATGAAGATAGGCCCCTAACTGAGACAGTTTTCAAACAGCTGCCATGACTGACTAAGAACATATAATATCCTGCATATAATCCAATGTTGCCTGACATGTAGTCGGTGTCCCAAAGTGAAAAAGGCCAACCATTCACATGGGGAAAGACACCAAAAACACACTCGACAATGACCTGAACATGTGGTAGCTCAAGTCCCCCTTGGTGTTATCCTGCATATCACCTCTTGCATCTTGTTTCTCAGTGTTTAGATATACCTTTAAGTCATGCATGTGCAAAAAGTGGTAAATGATGCTCTATTTCAGAATGAGAATCACTGTCCATTATCGGTCCATTACCAGGCCAATCCAGAAAAGCAGTTGACGGTAACTTGACAAATTGGCTTTGAATTGGCCTGTACAGATGTTTATCGCCGTCCCAATGAGGTTTTGATATACAGTAGACTATCAGCATACTATGGCTTTGAATTAACTTGGGGAGTATGGGCATGGGGATGCCATCTATGCGCCGTTCTGTTAAACTAATGAACTAGTGAGGACTTGAGAGCACACTTGTTAAGTAATACAAACAGTGACTGGATACACAGTCAACCACACCTTGAAGTACAGACACACAAGAAACAAATCAGAAACAAAGGGAATTGGGAAAACTGATAGATCTGAACAAAAGATCAATACATTGCAGCCAACATTACGCACAAAGGCCTAATCCGGGGTTTTATTTCTTCACAGCACTAAGAAAGTTATTTCTCAAAAAAAGAAAATCAACAATACTACCTTAGAACCAACTAATATTCTAAGCATGGGACAGTACTCGGGATCTAATAGAGTAAGAATTTGCACAGAGAAGCATAAAAAGACGATGACTTAAAAAGTAGACTAGACAAATAGCAAGATAGCAGAGCCAGTGGGAGAAGAACAGCTGCAGTGGACAGGTACGGCCAGTAGGAGGCAGTAATGCAAATCCAAAGACGCTAAAGGCCAGAGGAGACCAAAGAAGAAAGAATACGAAGAAGAAGGAAAAAGTTTCCCGTTTTCAAGGCAGCTGCTTTGACAGCGTTGTTCGACTGGCTCTTAATCTGATTGCCACGTTGAACTTCGTTGGGAGCCACAGGTTTGTTACTATCATTTCTATCCATTGTACTTTATTAAACCTGACGTGTTGGACTCCTTCAGAAATAGACTGAAACAAAACAAAACAAACATTTCAAACTCTGAACCGATCGGTTAAAAAAAGAAAGTTAATCTGTCTAATGAAGAGGAAAGCCAGAAGAAATCTGAAGCCAGCTGTAAGAACACATTCGACTAAAGTTAGCTTATTCTATTTAGCAGAACTTATGGGTTCCAACACTGGTGTTGCGTCATGTACTGTTTCTTTAACTTTTGCCCTACTTTAAAGCAGTCAACCGCACGTCTTAAGCAGAGTAGGTTATTTTTAATTATTTTTAAAGTTTTCCTCTCGGCAGCACTGTATTTCGGGGAGCGGGGAGGGGGGGGGTGGGCGTTACATGGAAGAGACTGTCAGCGTTATCTACTTCCATGCGCTCAAACGTGAAGACGAGGGAAAAACGTAAGGAAAAAAAACGTAAGCATTCTCGGTGTCATGCCAACGAGGGGGCGTGGCCACCAGGGTGGCTGGGGCTGACACCGGCCACCCTTGGAATCTAATTGGTCACACGGCTGACCACCACCACGAGCTGAGCTGCAATCAGCTTGTTAGTGTCGGGTAACGAAATCTGATCAGATTACCGCGACATGGCTTCCTCTACTACAGGAAAAACTGACCGACTGCTTGGATTGTCAGGGAGCAAAAAGTCTAAGCTGACATCTATTTGTGGTTCGCTGCAGTAGTAGTGAAACAAAGTAGAAAAGTAACTTTATTAGTAGCATAACGCGCTAGTTTAGCGTAATGATTGGCCCGCTCTGTAACAACAAACGTTACAACAACCCCAAACTGTTCAGGTATGTGTGAAATAAATCTCTTTGGGGGCTATTCCAAATACCGAGAGTCATTTTTGGAGGCATTTTAAAGTAATAAATGACATAATGTGATACTTAGTTTCTTTCTTTCTCAAGATAATCCACCCACACATAAATTCCTGTTTAGTTATTAAACATATGTAGACTAATAGACTAGTAGTCTATTGTGTTTGTACCCACTACAAACTTCTGAATTTCCCTTACTTTGTTTTTTCCCCACAAGCCGTGTTTTCCATGTCTTCCTTTCACATTTCTGTCTCCTTTTTTTTTTAGATTTGGAAACATAAAAATGTCTCATTTTCTAAATTCATTGGCTATTATTTAGGTGTATTGGTTAATTTATTGGACCGTTTATATTTGTTTGTTTGTTTTGGCTATTTGTATTTCTGCTGAGTGTGAATGTGTGTGGTTGTTCCTTGTGTGTCTCTGTTTGGCCCTGCGATGGACTAGCGGACCGTCCAGGGTATACCTCGCCCATTGACCACTGGGATAGGCTCCAGTCTCCCAATGACCCCATTAGGGAATAAGCGGTAACGATAATTGATGGATGGATGGATTTCTGCTTTTATTTTAAGTGTGTCAGTTTCAATACATAATACATATTTAGTTGAGTTAATTATTGATTTATTATGGATTTTTGTTGTTGCTCTATGGGGATTAATTTTCTTTACTTTTTGTGGAACTGCATTCTTTTATTTCAATCGAGAACTGTGTACTGAAACACTAAGGGTCATTTAATAATGGTATAATACGAGAAAGGGATGGCATTGATTTCAGCTGAGCAGGGTCATGAAGCAGGGAACAACATTAGCCACAAGTTCAGAAATCACCTCCGGTCCTGTCAGCATAATAATTTTTTAGTTGGCTCTGGGAGATCATTAGAAATAAGATCAACGCAAAGACAGAATATTATACATTATTTAATACCAGTATTTCAGATATTCAAATTTAGATGACTGCACTCATTTATCACTAATTTCGTGACCTTATTTTTTTTTTTACTGTATTTTTATTTTTAATTTGGCTGATATTGCTTTTAGTGTTGCTCTATTTGCTCTTTTCTGGTTGCTTTTTTTGTCTACGAAGCTCCTCCGGTGAGAATATTTGGGAAATCGTGCAAAATTTGCCAGCACGCAAATCTCACAACTCCTCCGTAACAGTTTAGAGTTTTTAGGCACTTTGCGACAAGCGCGTGCAGCCAAACATGTCTCCCCAGTCCGACTCCGAACAGTTCGAACCTGCCAGAAAATTTCAACCTGCCCTCCTAAAAAAAAATCGAGTGATCCAACGTGTTCTACCTCTGTCGTTGCCAGGT